GAACTAGATTATTTTCACAAAACCATTTCGTTATTTCTGACATAACCACGCTTAATTTATGTTGTAATTCATCAAGAGATTTGGCCTTGATGATAACGCTGGTATCATCCGCAAAAAGAATAAAATCACAAAGATTTGTACAATGAGGTAAATCATTAATATATATGAGAAATAAGAGAGGCCCTAAAATTGATCCTTGGGGCACGCCCAACGTACTTGTCAATTTATCCGAAATTATTTGCTCGTGATCGTTAATTAAGTAAACGCTTTGTGTTCGATTAGACAGGTAAGATTTAAATAGTTTGAGCGAACGTCCGCGAATACCACAATTTTCTAATTTGTCAAGAAGTCTTTGATGAGAAATACTATCGAAAGCTTTGGACAGATCGCAAAATATCGCAGTACAATATGTGGCTTCTTCGAAGGAGTCAATGATGTTATGAACTAAATTATAAATTGAGTGGGAAGTAGAATGGTTCTTTCGGAAACCATGCTGATTCTTGAACAAAATATTATATTTATTGAGAAAAGACGTTAACCTAGTATGCAAGATTTTTTCAATTATTTTATCGAAAGAGTTCAAGAGGGAAATGGGACGGTAATTATTTATATCGTCTTTATTGTTTTTCTTATGAAGTGGAAAAATCTTTGAATGCTTGAGGTGGGATGGAAATATTCCTTCATCGAAGCATTTATTTAAACATAACATAAATTTATCTATGAAAAAGGAATAGAATTCTTTAAGAATAAGACTAGGTATCTGATCCGGACCCGCTGAACTAGTAACTTTTATCGATAGAAAGGTTTGCTTTAGTTCTTCTAAATTTACAGGATAAAGAACGAATGTAGAATTATTTCGCGCGGATAAAGATTTAGTCGAACTAGTGGTGATCGAGTTGATTGCGCTTGTTAATTTAGACGCTTCGGTGACAAAAAAGTGATTAAATTTATTAGATATGACTACCTTATCAATAATCTTGTTGCCGTTAATTGTAAGACAATCAGTCTGTGAAGATTTAGTTTTCGTGTTGATTTCCGAGTTAATTAAGGACCAAATTGTTTTCTGTTTATTTGCTGAATTGAAAATTAAGTTTTCGTTGAATTTGATCTTCGCTAAATTGATTAGATCATTTAAAGTTGCCCTAAATTTCAAAAAATAAATTATAAAAGCCATGTTATTATTATGTACCGATAATCTCTCAAGAAATGCTAATCTTTTAAGTGAAATTCTCAACCCTTTAGTTAGCCAAGGAGTTGAAGTATTATTTTTTGGGCAAACGGTTTTCTTAATGAGAGGAAAAGCTTGATTGAAGTTGAATAAAAATGTAGAAATAAAGTTGTCGAACATTGTATTTGAGTCTTTGGACTTGTTAAGCAAGGTCCATGATTCCTTTTCAAGAAGACATTTGAAAATCAATTTATTTGATTCATCAAAATAACGTTTGTGTAAGATAAAGGTAGATTTAGAAGTTGAAAAATTACAAAAATTTAATATTATGCCTCGATGGTCTGAAAGAGTGGTATTTATAACACGCGAATCAAAGTCTTTTAAATTGGTGAAGAAATTATCAATGCAAGAAAAAGATTGATGCGAAAAACGAGTAGGTTCATGTATAGTACGAGTTAAACCAAAAGACTGCATCTTCAAATTGAATTCAATGGATGGCTTCGATTGCTTATCAAAGTGTATATTAAAATCGCCGCAAACAATGATTTTGGAATATTTATCAAAAAGGTTATGAATCAATTCGTACATCAGCGAGATGAACATATCAACATTCTGGTCAGGTGATCGATAAACGCATATAAGACACACGACGTCATTTGAGAGATTAATTTCAACAGCACAATATTCAAAAAGTTTTTCTACTTGAAGAGTATTAGTATAAACGGGTTTAGAACGAATAAAATCACTTACAAAAATGCACACACCTCCGTGGCCATATTGAGTTCGACAGAAATGAGAAGATAAATTATAACCTTTAATTTTAATTAATTCAAGATCCGACTTATTTAACCAGTGTTCAGCAAAACATAATATTTGGGGTTTATAATTATCTATAACTACTTCTAATTGATTAAGTTTATTGGATAGATTTTGTATGTTTTGAAAAATAATTGCAAATTTGTTATCAACTTTAGGCACGAAAGGAATTAGAAACCGAAGGTTTCATTCCCGCCACAGCCTTGACACTCAACAACTCGTTAGCTAAAACCCTACATAATTTTCTTTTCCCGTTGAAAAGAAAATGTAAGCCATGCCTGGTGTAATCGGACAAACCAACATGCCTGTTGACATCAAGAATCCGAAGATTACTGAACTTTCCTTGACCGTAGTCTCGGTTGATCCAGAAATTGGCATCGGAAATCAGCCCGTTGCAACGCACGTCGTCGTATCTGTACGGAATTGTCATCAAACAAAGGTTTGTCTTTTGACATGAACGACGAGCCTTTTCCAAAGCACTACGAATAGCGTAATTGGACGAATCGTCATTCGTTCCAGCCAGAACAACAACATGGTCACGCGGACCAAAGTCAGATACCAGACTCTCGATATCCCCAACCACGCCAGCAAATCCGGCCCCCGGCTTGACTATGCTGAATATATCAAATTTTCGTCCAAGCAATTCACTCAAGCATTCTGACCACCCTCTGCCGTGGCTATCGGAAAGGAACAAAATTTTACTGTTCTTAATAGAACCTAACAAATCATTATTAACGCGTTGCTCGAGGTGCTTTGCTTTGGACTCTAATTTGGTAAATACATCCCTAAGCTGTTTCAAATCTATGTTCCGTTTTTTTAGTAAACCAGATAACTCATTACAGAGTTTTGAAAAAGAACGTGAAAATGTGAAAATGTGAAAATGTGGAAATAACAACACTTTAGAGTATAAAATTTGTCAGTGATATCATTAGTATTTAAGCAGTAAAAATATTCAATATTATATTATTACTTTTACACAATTATATAATTGTGTAAAAGTGATAATATGCTAAGAGAACTACGCGATATAATATTAATTCTCAAATGGAAATAGCTGAAGAAAAATTTTGAAAGCAGAAGTATTATGTTTTGCTTTTATTACAAAGTTTACTACATAATTTGTATATAAAATTAATCCAAAAAATCAATTATTTTCTCATCAAAACGAAATCATTAAATTGAATTTGCTTCTCAAGTTTTGCGTTTTTACTTTGGTCAACACTGCTAAAAATACGAGTCACTGAGTCGATCATCTGGTCGACCGAAAAATTTTACAATCCGTCATTTATTCGTGAATTTTTTAGAAAAATTATTTTATTGATAATTATTCATAAATTTTTATTTCAAATAATTAATGGGATTTGACAAATCCTTAGATACATAAACAGCGTACTATAGAACACATTTGTTTCGAGTATTTCGGGTTCAAAGTTGTCGGAGTCGTGGAGTTGTTTAGCGGATATAACTCCACCATGAAGCGGAGTCAAATCCGAGTCGATCCGGCTTCGGATATAATAAGCCCATCTCTAATACACACATACTGTTTCGAAGCTTGGTCTCAGAAAATAATGAATTTGCATTTTTTCACTATATGTACTTTTACATTTTTAACTTGCGTAGGCTATATATAGTTATAGTTAACGCAAAGAAATCGAAAATGAAAATTTATATATCTTTACATTTCAAAGTAACCTTAAAAATTTAGAAAAAAACTAGCTGTAAGTGGAATTCTGTCTTACGGCAATTAAGGCATCGTGCCTTAAGGCAAATTGCTGGAACTTTCCGTACCAAAAATTATTTTTTTAAAAACGATTAACATTTTTGAAAAAATTTTACTTCGAAAAAATTAGATTTTTAAGAAACTATAAATTTGACAAAAAATTACTTTTTTTTGAAAAAAAATTTTTTTTTGGAAACAAAATTTTCTTGAAAAGAAAAATGTTTTTTTCATTTTGACATATTTTGGAAATTCTGAACTTTTTTTCAAAGCAAACGTACTGCTTGAACTGCATAGAGACGAAATGTCAAAGCGCGCAAGTGCCGCGCCGCCGTCTAACGCATAAGCCTTGGTACGGAACCCATAGAAATGTAAAAAAAAATATACTTATTGTTAAAATCTCTATAAAATATCTTATAATTTGATGTGCATATGTCTAATGATCATTTTTGACCGCCAAATGGCATTTTTTTTAACTTTTTTTATTAGATCTCCGAAACCGCTAGACCTGCCTTCATGAAAATTTGATCAATTCTTCATCTTGTCAATACAAGTGAAATCTTTGTTGAATTATTCAAATCGGACGCTCCGTTCTCTTAAAAATTGAGTTACCGTTTTCGGCACTTTTTGCCCTGTATCTTCGGAACGGCTAGATCTGCCTTCGCCAAAAACTAATTCGCACGTCTTCTTATCAATACGAATCGAATGTTTTTTCAATTACTCAAATCGGTTGATCCGTGTTCCCAAAATCGTCGACGAAAATTTGTATCCGAACATACATACATACACGCACACACATACACACACACACATACATCCATTTTTTCTAAGGTATGCTAAAATGTTCAGAAACCTTTGAAACGTAAAGATATATAAAAATTTTCATTTTCGATTTTTTTGCGATTACTATAACTTGCCCTACGGGAAGTTAAAAATTCATATAAATAACATTCTTTTCGAAAAGGTTTTTATTTCTAGTAATATTAACATGTGTATTATTAATGCACATAGGTTATTTATAGAATACGTTTGTGACCAATTTAATAAGAACTTATAAATTTGCAGTATTTATCATAGTCTAATTGACAAAAATTAAAACAAATGTTATTAAATATTGAATAATTTTTTTGATGATTTTTATTCCTCTAATGTTTAATTGCGTTACGAAAAGTTCCAGATATTTTCCTTAATGCATGATTCCATGAACCACTACGTTTCTTTAAATATAATAATTTGTCGTTTTTAAAGCGCAAACAAATAGTACCTTAATATATTTTCTACAATTTGGTATCAATTTACCTGGCAGCATAAGCATGATCGCATGAGGCTGTAGTTGCCACAGAGCTATAACTATGTAGCGATTCAAGATCATCATCTGGCGAACCTGGACTACCAGGTGGCGTCCTTGGTGTGCGCTGACTTTTTGATAACGAGCACGATGAACGAGCTAATCCTGCGCCACCGCTGGAGGAACTCAAGTTCAAAGGCTGTAACGCAAACAAGAATGCGTTATTATAACAAATATCATTTAAAATGTTTTGGTGATTTCTAATTAACAATATCATTTACACGAAACATAAACACAAAGCTTTTCACTTCCGATTTTCTGTAAGAGAAACTTTAGAAATGCAAAAAACTGTAAATAAATTTTCTTATATTTATATTTACATCTTCTCATAATTCTATCATATTTGTATACAACCATGTAAACATTCGATTCCTAACGGTGAAGTAAAAAAAGATTAAAAAAATGTTGGTACAAATAATCTTTTAGAAGACTCTGTTGCTTAAATGAGATGCAATATTACCTGAAGTATGTAATTTTAGCATTTACTAAAATTCACCAAAATGCATATAATATTTTGTATCAACTGATAGTGGAATACAAACAGGCACGTCGGCAACTAAATAAAACTATCAAAGATAGTAAAGTTAGGTGCTGGAAAGAACTTCTAGATGAAGTTGAAAAAACCTATGAGGAAGCCCTTATAAGATTGTAATGTCTCGTCTCAAAAACCAGCCAATGCCTTCACCAACTTGCCCACCACTATTGAATAAAATAGTAACTACTTTGTTCCCACGACAACCTAATTTAAACTACCAGGTAACACATGTAGTCCTAAATAATATTTTACCTATAACACTGTAAGAACTGATGGAGTCTTGTCATCGGGTTGGACATAGTAAGGCACCGGGATTAGATGGAATTCCTGATGTCGCCTTAAAAACATCAATTATGACATCTCCGACAATGTTTCTTAATGCCTATAATGCATGTCTAAAAGAATAGGTTTTTCCACGAAAATGGAAACAGCAAAGATTAGTGCTTCTTCCCACAGGAATTTCTTTTACCGCCACCAGATGAACCATCATCCTACCGTTCGATATGCATGCTCGATACAGCAGGTAAAATTTTTGAAAAAAGAATTCACTAAAGAATAGATGCAGTAGTTGACCCACTCCTAGCAGACAATCAGTATGGTTTAGTTCACTGATTCCCAAAGTGGTCCACATGGACACCCAGGGGTCCATGGCAACTTTCAAGGGGTCCACGTCGGCAAAAACAAAATTTGGGGGTCCACGAAATGAAAATGGGGGTCCACGGCGGTGGATTACAATACACCATGTTAAAATCTATTTATTTACGTTAAACAATAATATAATATATACATTTACAATAAATCTTTCAATATACGAGGTGTGTTCAAAAAGTACCCGGAATTTTTAAAATTCGCGGGTCTGGAGTGTCTGATTGTCAAAATTTTTTTTTTATTGTGTTGGTATACATGCCCCTAAAGTATGATGAAATTTTCAGCTATATTCACTGTTTACTTTGTCTGTGGTAGTCGCTAAGGTTCGACGTGTTTTTCTGAGCTCGGCGATTTTTACAATGGAAGAATTGAAAAGTCAAAGAATTTGTATTAAATTTTGCGTAAAAAATGAAATAAAGTGTAACAAAGTGTGTGAAATGTTACAAAAAGCCTATGGTGAGTCTGCTATGAAAAAAACAAGTGTTTACGAGTGGTATAAGCGTTTCCAAGATGGCCGCGAAGACGTTGAAGATGACGAACGCTCCGGTCGACCCAGCACGTCAACAAACGATGAAAATGTGAAAGAAGTGGAAAAAATGGTTATGAATGATCGCCGAATCACAATTAGAGAAGTTGCTGATGAAGTTGGCATATCAATTGGCTCATGTCATAACATTTTTTCAAATGTTTTGGGCATGAAACGAGTGGCAGCAAAATTCATTCCAAAACTGCTAAATTTTGACCAAAAAAGCAATCGCATGAACATCGCTCAAGAGCTGTTAAATGACGTCAACAACGATCCAAGTTTGCTTGAAAGGGTCATAACTGGTGATGAAACATGGGTGTACGGTTATGATGTCGAAACCAAAGCCCAATCGTCCCAATGGAAGAGCCCAGGTGAGCCAAGACCGAAAAAAGCACGTCAAGTTCGATCGAATGTCAAGGTTTTGCTTACTGTTTTCTTTGATTATGACGGCATAATGCATCAAGAGTTCTTACCACAAGGTCGTACGGTTAATAAGGAGTATTACCTTGAAGTGATGCGACGTTTGCGTGAAGCAATCCGAAAAAAACGCTCCGATTTATGGAAAAACAATTCATGGCTGTTGCACCACGATAACGCACCTGCTCACTCGTCGTTGCTTGTTCGTAATTTTTTGGCCAAAAACAATACCGTAGTCATGCCCCAACCTCCATATTCACCAGATATGGCTCCGTGTGACTTTTTCCTGTTCCCAAAGTTGAAGAGACCCATGAAAGGACGGCGGTTTTCCTCGATTGAAGAAATAAAGGCCGAATCGCTGAGAGTGCTCAAGGACATATCAAAAAGTGAATATCAAGGGTGCTTCGAAAATTGGAAAAAACGCTGGCATAAGTGTATTATATCTGGGGGGACTACTTTGAAGGGGACCACATTAATGTAGACGAATAAATAAATATTTTTTTGAAAAAACGAAAATTCCGGGTACTTTTTGAACAGACCTCGTAGTTGGCAAAATTTAGAAATGATTCAAAAAATAAAGAAAAACATTACATATTTATATAAAGTGTGTAAGTTGTAGCATGTAGGCATTCGAGTTGGGGTTAAACTATACGCTGGCTGTTAAAAAGCTTAATTTTGGTAAGATTTCTGCTCTTAGAATTTATAAATACCAAATATAGAGGTTTAAATGGCAATTTTACGAAGTGTGATATAGATACCACTTATTTGGATTCGATCAACTAAATTTTATTTGAATTTTAGTCCCCTCAGCAACGAATTTGGACTCAACTATTTTGAACTAAACTTTTAGACATTTAAACTACACAGGTAATTTTGTGCTTTGGTGGACTGTAAATTACAGATATAGTTTATTTCTGGGTTGGTTATTGAAGAAAGTTGCTTATATGAAATGTTTACTGACAAATGTTATAGATTTGGTAGTGCTTAATGATGTTTCTGATTATTACACCAGTCTGTTGTTCCACGTGGATTAATGTTGTAACTGGTTGCATGGCATAGTGCCTTAAGGCAAATTGCTGGAACTTCCCGTAGTGAATTTAATTTTTTAAAAGACTTTTAAATTTGTTTGAAAACATAAAAAAAACATTTTTGAGACTTTAAACTTTCTGAAAAAAAATGACTTTTTTGAAAAATTTTAACTTCCCGTAGGGTAAGTTATAGTAATCGCAAAAAAATCGAAAATGAAAATTTTTATATATCTTTACGTTTCAGAGGTTTCTTAACATTTTGGCATACCTTAGAAAAAATGGATGTATGTGTGTGTGTGTGTGTGTGTGTATGTATGTATGTGTGTGTATGTATGTGCGGTGTTCTGTAATAGCATGATCATACGTGCTTTTAATAAAAATATGAATTATTGTTCAATGTTGTTCAAAGTCCAAGAATTTTACATGAACACGGAAGACGCCATTCCTAGAATTGACACGTACAATGCATAATATATGGAGTCGGAATTATTTGTATTAACTAGTGATGCCTTAGGCAGAAGTCTAGCCAGTGATGTTTTAGGAAAAATTAGAGAGTATGTCTTAGCACGAATCTATGCTAGTTTGTGATGTGAAGTTATTAAAGATTAAATAAAGTTATAGTCGAAATTAGATTCAGTGTTTGTATTCTACTTTGCGTAAAGACATCTTTCAGCCTATACCAATATAAAGTGCTCACGGTTCTGAGGAGACTCATACCAGTGTTGTTATTTTCTATTATAAACTCTACGCTCTGCCCACGACACCAGAACAAGGTTGGACTGATCTAGCACCTCTTGGAGAGTGGATCAATCTACATTTGGAACCCAACCCAATCCAATCAACCCTACAACAACAACTCATATCATTTCATGGTGTCAAGCGGTGGTTTTACCTCGTGGTGAAGTGCAGTGTTGAATGTGCTGTGAGTGTCAAGCAAGAAGCTGAGTAGCAGAAATTTTGCAACCGGCGCTACAGCAACAGCTGAAAACCAGCAGGATCAGGACTGGCACAAAGTACCAGAGGCATTAAAGGTGGCGGCATACCAGATAACACCGTGAGAAAGGCGACTTTACGCAGAGAGACAAAGACATACTCTCCCCAAATCGACGCAGACTTCTCGATTAAGGCTCACTCCCCAAGTAAGAAAAACCAATCCTTCTTTTGGCAAACTACTCAACCAGACCAGAACATCATAGTCTTCAATTTTTTTTTTTTATTTTTTTTTTATTAAGATTTTGTTTGTCAATTAAAATATAAATAATAATATTTTGTCAAATTGAATATTTTTTAAATATTAGGATTTTGGTTGTACTTGGGTAACATTTTTGTAACAACGGGCAGTTCGATTATTGTTCACACCACTATTATTTTGTTGACTTCACGTAACCATCAAGGTTAAGTTCAAGCTAATACTGTTAACTAAGCATTTTTTTAACAAAAACAATTACGAGCATTGCCAGGTCCGAATTTCATAACAGAAATATTTCAAAGTAAAATAATTGTAAAGATTAATAACAAAGTCATCAAGTAATAATATAAAAGACTCAGAAAGTAATATTGAAAAGTTAGTGACTCTAGTTAATGACTTTGAGTATCCTATCAAGAGTAAATTTACATCTGTTGATCTTTTCATTACGTCGCGATTTTTAATGTGGCTTTAAATGCCAGTATAAAGGCGAAATGCCTAAAGGATTTAGTGTAGCCATTGTGCCACTTTTCAGGCGATAGTGCCAATCCTTCATTTCAGATAGCCTAATATTAAATTGTTCAAAAGAAACAATAGGTATCTGACAAATAAATAATTAATAAGGGTAGGAAAAACCCGAATGGAGACTCGTAAGGTTAGTGAAAACCGCGAGATCTTAAATATATTTGACGTAATTTTGATGACTTATAAGACTCATGAATCCGCGGGAACGAGTCAATAAAATCTTTCAAATAAATTTATTTCGTTATTTTCATTTTAGGACCAAAACACGCTCGTT